AGATGTGATTCGCATAAGGTTGCAATCTTAAACAATCAAATTAAGTTGCAACTCCAAACTTTATTAGGGATGCAGTTTTGGTACTGAAAATGGTGTGAGAATCTATTTTTATCTCCAATTATAAAATTGTAAACGCCAAACATATTTTGAATCAAACAGATCTATAAACTCATGAAAATCTTAAAAATGGATGGTCTATATAATATGTTGTCACATGTATTATCTTTAGGGCTTGAAATCTCTTTTTTCTCCATATCTATACATCTCGATGTCAAGATGATCAATGAGATGTTTTTCAAATAATCAAAACAACCTTTTTGAAGGATTTTAAATGTGTGCCTTAATTCTACAATTTTAGGTTGTCAACCTTATATAAACATTTTCTAAACAATAAGACATACAATGTTCCTTTATTAGTTTTGTCTTGAAGTAGATCCAACCCGACCAGGATCAGGCGAGGGTCCGAGTCTCATCCTAAGTTAGTCAGTATGGGTTGACCTGCACCCGACTCTACCCATCCACAGCTCCACCCTCCAATCTAGAAGTCTTGGTGGAGACAAAGCTCAAAAGAATGGAGAAACTTGTTTCTTCCGACATACAATATTATCTCAAGAACATTCTAACTCTAGAAGAAGTCAGTTCCAGGAGAAGCCTAGCCTTCAGGATATTCATATCTAGTTACCCAAATAGCACATACTAAAAATTCATAGGGATTTGGCCTCACGGCTTCAAAGAAGAGAGAAAGAGAGAGAGCGTAGCTTTAGGAGAACTTAGAGGGAGGACTTCAATTAGAGAGGGAAAAGATAAATTTAGAGGGAGACAGTTTGAGAGAGAAAGGGTGAGAGGATTTAAAGAGAGAAATGTTATGGTTAGAGAGAGTAAGGGCACATTTGGAGAACTGGAACTAGAAAGAGAGGGTACAATTAGCGAGAGAAAAGGACATGGTTAGAGTGAGAATGGAGCTCGAGAAAAAAAGAGCAAACCTAGGATTAAAGAGAGAGTGTGGTCGGAAGAGAAATGAGTTAGAGAGATTTTACATCACTAGAGAGGATTTAGGGAGAGAGGACATGGTTAGTGAGAGAAAGGGCATGTTTAGAGAGATTTGGAGAGAGAAAGGGCTCGATTAGAGAGAGAAAGGGCATATTTAGATAGAGAAAGATGTTAGAAAAAGGAAGTGAAAGATTATAAAGAAAGAGTTGTTCGGAGAGAAAAATAACATCGTTAGAGACATAAAGGAGTTAGGAAAAAGTCGAAAGAGGAGGTGGACAAGAAAAAGTGAAAATCAGAGCAAGATACTTCCTAAAAGTAGGATAAGATAACTTCCGTGGGGAATGGCAATTGCAGGTATTAATTTTTCAAGAACCCAAAACTTTCTACACAGTTATCAATAGTATTTCATGTATTTTTTTTGGTAAATCAGTGGCGAAGAAGGCCCCTTACCCGACTTTTCATTAATAGAAAAGGGTTAACATGTTTTTATATAACCCTATAGTAGGCCAATAATAGTATTTCATGTTAACAAACAAGAAATTGCAAGGAAATTAGAACTTCCAATTTCTGAATTTGAAACTTCATGTTATCAAACGTGCTCTCTGGGATACTCATACATCCCTGAGTCTTGGTGTTCCATCAAGGAAGCACTCAGTATGGGGATAAACCTAATAACATCCTTTTTCTTGAATGTTTTTTTACGCCAAAATTGAGCCTAAGTACAAGACTCCATGAATGAGAATGAAATGAGAAAATCATAGAAGCTCTATAACCACTCCCTCTCTTGCCAAAGCATTGGCTGGATTTGATTCCCCATAATCGAAGGCGGTTTCTAGTCCACAAATTTTCTTCAAAATTTCCTCAAGGGATTGTATACAATGAGGCCATTTACTTTTGATACAGAGGTCACAAATTTGGAGAGAATTTCTTTTCAAGTTTGAGCTTGGTCAATGAAATAAATGCATCTATTTAATTTCATATCCAATAGTCAACATTAATTGTGACCACCATGTAGTAAAGATATGGTCTCATTATATACTTTTCCTTTCCTCTTGAAGATTCGCTTTAGCTCACAGGAGATCATCTATCACTCTTTGCACCATCTAATGACAGTGATTGAATCTCTTATGATAATTTTGTGAGCACTGGTTTGCACGACACAAAGACCTTATAGTACAGATCGTGCCTCGACTTCATTGGACCTGCACATTCCGGCAGGGCCCAGGTTTCTATGACCACTACCAAGAAAATTCAACTCACGAGTATTGACTAGCAGAGGGGGTCAAAGTGTTTGATCTTCTAACCATTTGGCACAATGAACTGATTACTTCTTTCAGGTTGGTTCTCAAATACACCATGATTATAAATGAAATTTCCTTTGTGGTTTCCCCTACATGAATATGGTCAACTCGAGTTAGAGAAGAATTTATGGTCCTCTGTCTTCTTGTCCTAAAAGCACTTGCTACTACATTCTATCCATATTAATACCTGCAGGCTAATTCATTGCTCTTCACAAGAGGCAAAATTACAAATCTAGCACTTGATGGATGGCCATTTCTTCTCTTCGGCATCGTTGCATGAGATGACAATAGCTTTAATTTTGCCTTTAATGATCAACTGTTAAAGTACTCCCCAAAACCGATAACGAAGCGTATCCTTTTTAACCTTATGTGGATCAGGATTAGGCTAGAACCTCACAATTGCAATATCAGGATGTCTTTGGGCATAGTGCATGGTAGGATGCCTTTGCTGTGAATTCACCATGTGTGTAATCAATAGTTCTATATTTCGATTAGATGGCAAAAATTCGATCCAAATTTCAAATAGCTATATCCACATACACATGCATTTATCCATATATCATCTATTTACATGGATAATAACGGATAACAACTCTTTTATTTGCGTCCGTAGCTATGTTGTCCTCCCCCTCCTATTATCTGTATTACAATTTAATGATTGAAATAAATCTCAGACTGGAAAATCCTCTCCATTAGTTTGTCACTCAATTCTTTCCAATCAATGCGATAATTGTGAAAATTCAATGATGTGCAGTCTGTTGAGCTTTGGCAGCAAAATTCAAGATTCCGCTAGATGTTATTATCTTCATACGAAACCATTTGGGACCACAGTTGCATTAATAGCTGGGGGAATTGTGTGCACAATGGTGCATTTAAACTTGAACAAACAAGGGCATTTTAGTTATTCAAGCCTACTAAGTGGCGCGAGCCAAATGATGTGGATACCCCTGCTTGTTCAAACTTTCAAATCTTGGCCATGTTTTTTCATTGAAGGTTCCTAAAACAAAACAAGCAGGGAATTTACATCATTTTGCTAAGGCCCAGGCAGCAGGAAGCAAAAGAACAATGTCCTCTTAAATGTTTAGGATCAAGAACCCAAAATTCATTGGATATGCTTGTTTTCGGTTGCTAACTCTGAACTGGAAGGGTAATTTAGTCATCATGCCAAAGTGGCCTAAGAAACATGATGGTTCAGCCCTGCTTGTTCAAGTTTAGGAACTCTACTTTCTTTTTCTGTTGGAAGTTCTTGTTTTGTGTTCCTTATTGGGCATGAACGCACCCTCGATTCAACACGACTTACTACAACAGGGTTTTGTGAGCCTTTGGGACTGAGTATCTCAAACTATGTGAGCAATTTAGACCTACCAGTTCCATAAGACATGTATGTGTGTGTACGGAATAAACACAATAAAAGCAAAACAAGCTTTAAACACACAAAATTTAATGCGGTTTACCCTTATGCGCTGCATTATCAGGAGAGAGACAATCAAAGTCCTCCATATACAATTAAAGAGATAGTATAGCCAGCATCTACATTAGAAAGAAAACACATGGATGACAACAATTTGATATAGCATTTAAATTTTAATTTGTTCTACTACTTGGATTCCCATGAATTTTTGAAGTAGTTAATGACACACTCAAGCCCACCAAAAAAATATAAAAAATAATTTGTAAAAAGTAATTTACCAAAATACTTTGGTTAATTTGTTTTTTTTTTAATTATTTTATATTTTAGTGTTGTAGACCTCCAATATTTCACAATTAATATAGATTGTAGAAATTTTCAAGTAAAACATTATAAAAAATCTTCACTGTCTGTATGTTTTCTTTTAATATGAAAAGGTTGAGAGCAGCCTCTAGGTGTCCACATCATGTATATGTCATACTTTCCAAAATGAAATATACAAAGGCTTGACAATGAATATGCATATTTCTTCCTAAAAATACATCATTCCTTCTCTTTCACTCTTTCTAAAACCGACGATCTAAGATGAGAAGAGATCTAGTTGATTTGGGGCTCTCTCCTAAGATCCTTGTTCTACTTTCTCTCCAAAAGGCCCTTTCTCTTCTGGGTTTGTAATTCCCATCTGGGCTCTCCACTTCTAGGGAATGCCTCTCTTCATTATAAATCACGCTCAGATGTTAACATTCCTAAGTTTGGACTAAAGAGGTATACTGCTGTCATTACTCTTTAATTCCCAAGCAAAACTCATATTTTTTTCTATTGGAAATGATACTTGTTCTATTTTTCTAAGTCTGAGCAAGTTCGGGTATTCATGCCACTTGGCTCAGGCCACTTAAGTGCCAGTTCTGAGTTTCCAAGTCCGAAAATTTTGGACATTTTTAAACAAATTTTTGATGAGATAAAACTTATTGAGCAACTACTCTAATGTCTCCAATTTGATTATTAGACAACCTTATTGATTTGATAAGGAAGTTTGACCATTAAGTGATATTTCCCCTGTTTTCTCACTTGGCACATTATATCCATCTGATTGAGCCCCATGATAAGGAGGAGCAAGTCCTTTGTTTCTTAAGAGAAAAAAAGATGGGGTGTCAAAAAATTGACAATCACCTCCCAACATGAAAAGAAAAATTGTAAGACCTATTACCTACCAAAGAAAAAGAGAAAATCAAACCCTGTCTCTGCCATTTCACTTTATGTTTGCTCAAACCCTTTCTACTTTTTCACATAACAAGTGGATTCCATTAATTACTGAGAAGTAATTAATTTGCTAACTGCTTGGGCTGATAGGGGTGGCAAATTTGAAAAGCAAAAGCTTTGCCATTGCTCCGAAGCTGTAGTTTCTTCCTTTTCCTCTGAGGTGAACACAGTATAAATCGTGGTCGCAATTTTTCGAGCAGCCTCGCGAGCCTCAGGAAGCCGATCATTCAGTAAATCTGCAGCCACTTGAAGAAGGCCCGAGCAGCCGAATTCTTTGATATCACTAGACTCCTAGAGTCAAGAAAGAGAAGAAGAAACAAGAACCGTAAGTATGGAAACTAACCAAATAAAAGGTGGCCAAAATTCTAGCTTTTCTTTTTTTTTGGGGGAGGGGGGGGGGGGGGGGTTGTGTGAAAGAGAGTATGATTTTACACAGAAAGGCCAACTATTTTTCAATAACATTTTCTTTTTTCAAATAAGTTGCCTACTAGTTAGAATCCATCAATAATCAGCCTAAGCTTTCCAAGTTTAGAAGAAAAAAGCCTAAAGCTGAGGATGTTAAACAAAGGTGTTGCTCTAGACAAAACCTACTTGACCTAGTCTGTTAATGAAATAAAATAGAATATCGGAAACCAGCCAGACTAGGCTGTTCCCGATGTTTCGTTTCGAGAACATCGTTTCGAGTTACTCGGGCTAGTGGACTCGCCTGCGATTTCCTATGCTCTGTAATGGAAACAAGCACTTCATATGTTCAATCCAATTCTCTAAAGGACATCTGGATAGAGATCAGTAGACTGGGCCAATTCTCCTGGAATTCACCCCTGAGATCTCTACTCAACCCATATTCCACCATGTTCAATATTAGTTTTTGATGATTTAAACTCTAAACATCAAGCAAACATATTTCCTATGCATTCATGTTACTCTCTCTCTTTTCTTTCCACTTTCTTTATTTTTCATTTTTAAATTTTGGGCTGGATTGCTGGTTTATCCAATCCCGGCGACCTTTGGCCAATCGAGATTGGGCCAATTCACCAGAACGATTCAGGTTTTCAAACATTGGTCCAATCTAAACCCAAAAAGGAAAACAAAATAACTACAAATTGTCAAAACGCAATAAACCCAGCCATTACCCTCCATGGCCATACAATAAACTTCATCAAAGTAACCAACATGCACTTCCGCCCCTAATATTTCAAACTTCCAAAAAACTGGAGAAATTCCCCGAGAACATTGCTAAAGGAAAAAAATGAATATCATGAACCCCAATACTTCAAATTTTATAAAGATCAGGAATACTAAAAAAAAAAAAAAAGAAGAAGGAGATTATAAAGAGTCTATAGAAATTTTTTTCCTTGTGTATATAATAAATGGAATATTACCATTTTAGTAACACAGTTGCAGAAGGAGACAGCAGCCTTGGCTCTTACACGAAGGTTGGTATGGCCAACCAAAGGCCTGACCTTTTCGAGCAGTGGAAGCCCAGGCAAGAAAGAGGACATGGCTTGCAGAGCTTTCTCAGCTTCTTCACACACAAATTTCTTGTCTTGTGATGCTTTCAGCAAGAGTTGTAGTAACTGAAACAGGGTGCAAATGGATTCAGAGTTGTAGCAACTGAAACAGGGTGCAAATGGATTCAGGAGAGAGAGAGAGAGAGAGAGAGAGAGAGAGAGAGAGAGAGAGAGAGAGAGAGAGAGAGAGAGAGAGAGAGAGAGAGAGAGAGAGAGAGAGAGAGTAGAGAGAGAG